CTAAACTATCTGTGTTAACTCAGAAGAGCCTGGGGGAGACCTTAAGCACCCTGGGCAGTAACCTAAGTGCCCCTCAGGTCCTATCACTGCTCCCCTCTCCTGCTGGGAACCCCCAGCTCCACCATCTCCTCTCCACTCTGGTGCAACTGCAATCAAAAAAAGCAAATGATCAGAGTGCAGGGGAGGGTCAGTGCATAACAGAGAAATATCAAATGCCGTGTATCAACCGGTGTGTGGCCTGAACAGATGCAGCATGTGGGATCAACTGCCTCTCTCAAGCATGGAATTGTAGAGTGCGAGGGCACTCAGAGGCGGGCTATGCCTGGGAAAGCTTCTACTGAAAGAGACAGAGAAGGGTGCATAGCATTGCAGAAGCTCCATTGTTCTACACAGGTGGGATTTCAGGCTCATTGCATACGCAACCCCCCAGGTTGGCCTCCCTCTCCTACTTCATCACACCTCTCCATAACCCAGCCACCTCCGCCTTGTCAGGCTCATGCCAGCCTTGCTGCTCAGACCACTGGTTTGCTATTTCCTCTCTGTCGTCTTTGAAAAACACCTTTATTGCTACCTCGTCTGCACAGAACACCTCTGCTTTGGGTCCTGGCACAGTCCAGCAGTGACAAACAGTTGACCCTGGAGAATCTGACTCACTTTGAAGGGGCCAACCAATAGTGCAGGTCTCTCTGCTGCCCAGAACCGGGCTTCCTTTGGCCCTTGGGTCTCTTCAGCCCGGGTGCACAGCCTGCCTAAGAGGAGCAGAACTCCTACCTCAGACCACACCCGTTTCCCCAGAGCTGTCTGGTTATTTTAAAAGGACATGGGATACTGGCCTACAACACACCTACCCTTGGGGAGAGCCCCTTGGCCCTGTGTAGGCCAGGGGTGGCTGCCAGAGACACTGGCCTTTTGCAGGCACTGGGGGATTGGGGGAGGACGAGGTGTGTCCTGGGCATGTCTTGTTCTTACCCAAGGTGATCCTGCCCACAGATCTCCTGTGCCACTGGACTGTGAAAGGGTCTCCTGGGGTTGGGCACAACCTCCAGAGCTCCCATTTCACACTGGGGGCTGGATGCACAAAGACACATGGATATTGCCAGGCTTAGCCTCTAGGTACCTGGCCACCCCATGGGATCCTCATCCCCCAAGTGGCCTACTGGCTTCCCAGGTGCAGTCTGAGCAGAGCTGCGCCCTTCCAGAGGCCCAGCAAGCTGAGCAGAGACCCCCTCACCTAGCCAAGGCAGGGGACTAGGCCTGCGCCCTGCACTTCAGAGGACCTTAGGCCCCCTCTGTCATTGCTAGGGGCCTCTAGTTGGGCTCCCTGGCTGCACCTCTCCTGGCACTGAGCCAGGCCAGTTCTGCTGAGGGCAAACCAGAAACTGAGGCACTTGCTCGAAGAGGAGAGGAGGGTCACAGAGTCAAGTGTCTCAAGGGATTCAGCCCCAGGCCCCCCGTCGGCACTAGGCTAGGGGTGTTCTGGGCAGGCTGCCTCAGGCTTCGGTGGGAGCTGGGCCATTCAGTTAGGCAACCTGCTGGGCCAGATGGAGCCCAATGAGGGACACTGCTCCTGGGGGGCTGCTGAGCACTGCCTGGCACAGATGGGAGGAGCCCCCCAGGCCAGGGGATGCTCAGCCTGAGACTAGCTGGGGACTCTGGCTTGCAGCCAACTCTCAGTGCTCTATCTAGGGGCTATGGAGCAGGGGGGACAACATGTCCCAGTGCTGTCCTACTGGTAAACACACCCCTCCCCCCACCTCAGGGCTTGGTACGTAGGTCCTACCCCAAGGGGAGGGGCTCATGAGTGGCTGTGGATGGTGGCCAAGGCTTCCTGCACCGGACCCAGTGCTGTTCATCATACCCAGAAATTGTCTGGAGAAGGGGTGAATAGTGAGCTGAGAAAGTTCACACAGGATATCAAATTAATCCAGACAGTTAGGTCCAAAGCAGACTGCAAAGAGCTACAAAGGGGTCTCACATAACTGGGCAAGAAAATGGCAGATGAAATTCAATTTTGATAAATGCGAAGTTACACACATTGGAAAACACAATCTCAGCTCTACACACAAAATGAAGGGGTATAATCAAGCTGGCACCACTCAAAAGATCTTGGAGGCATTGTGGTTAGTTCTTTGAAAAGAGCTGCTCACTGTGCAGCGGCCATCAAAAAAACAAAGTTGTCATGGGATAAGAGGGAAAGTTCTTTCGTGGACTGATAACTGGTTAAAATACAAGAAAGGCTGGGAATAAATGGTTGGTTTTCAGAGTGGAGAGGTAACTAGCGGGGTCCCCCCCCCAAGGGTCTGTCCTGGGACCCATTCTATTCAACTTATTTATAAATGATCTGGAAAAGGGGGTAAACAGAGAGGTGGCAAAATTTGCAGATGATCCCAAACTGCTCAAGATAGTTAAGACCAAAGCAGACTGTGAAGAGCTTAAAAAAGATCTCACTAAACTAGGTGATTGGGCAACAAAATAGCAAATTAAAAGTAGTGTTGATAAATGTAAAGTAATGCACATTGGAAAACATACTCTCAACTATATGTACAATATGATGGAGACTAATTTAGCTACAGCTACTCAAGAAAGAGACCTTGGAGTCATTGTGGATAGTTCTCTGAAAACATACACTCAGTGTACAGCGGCAATCAAAAAAGCAAATAGACTGTTAGGAATAATTAAAAAAGGGATAGAGAATAAGAAAGAAAGCATCTTTATTGCCTCTATATAAATTCATGGCACGCCCAGATCTTGAATACTGTGTACAGATGTAGTCGCCTCATCTCAAAAAAGATATACTGGCATTAGAAAAAGTTCAGAAAAGGGCAACAAAAATTATTAGGTGTGTGGAACGGGTTTCATATGAAGTGAGATTAAAAAGACGTGGACTTTTCATCTTAGAAAGGGGGAGTCTAAGGGAGGATATGACAGAGGTCTATAAAATCGTGACTGGTGTGGACAAAGTGAATAAGGAAAAGTTATTTACTTATTCCTACAATATAAGAACTAGGGATCACCAAGTGAAATAGACAGCAGGTTTAAAACAAACAAAAGGAAGTTTTTCTTCACTCAGTGCACAGTCAACCTGTGGAACTCCTTGCCAGAAGATGTGGTGAAGACTAGGACTCAAACAGGGCTCAAAAAAGAGCTAGATAGATTCACGGAGGTTAGGTTCATCAATGGATATTAGCCAGAGTGGGTAAGAATGGTGTCTCTAAACCTCTGTTTGTCTGTAAGGGATCATGTGAAGATTACCTTTTATGTTCCCTCCCTTTGGGACATCTGGTATTGGCCAATGTCGGCAGACAGGATACTGGGCTAGATGGACCTTTGGCCTAATCCAGTATGACCGTTCTTAAGTAGGTACCCTTAAGAAAAAGACCAACGATAAGACTGTAAAAACCATAATGCCACTATGTAGATTCATGGTATGACTTCATCTTGAATATCGCAAGCAGTTCTATTTGCCCCCATCTCAAAAAAGGTACATGGGGAAAAGGAGCAGAGAAGATGACAAAACCGAGTGGAAATTTGGATCAGCTTCCCTACGAGGAGAGATTAAAAAGGAACCATTCAGCTTGGAAGAGGCAACTAAGGAGAGATTTGAGAGAGGTCTACAAAAATCATGCCTGGTGTGGAGGAAGTGACTCAGGAAGTGTTATTTTCCCCTGCACGTAACAGAAGAACTAGGGGTCCCCCAATGTAATTAACAGGCAGCAGGTTTCAAAGAAGCAACAGCAATTCTTCACACAGGGCAGCCATCCTGTGGAACTCACTGCCAGGGAGACTATCACAACAGCCTTTTCCATACGTACAGAGCTGTGCATCTGAGACAGCTGCAAAAAGACCAGCAGAATTTTCAGCTGCAAGGTCAGAGGCCTCCTGCCATTCCATATCCACTGCCACACCTGGAACAAGGCCTGTTCTGGTCCCTTCATGGGCAGATAGGCCTGGAGCAGCTGAGACCCAGGAACACCTTTCAAGGGTGGGAGGGAGGGATTGCTCAGGAACCAAGGAACCTGGACAGTTTGGCTCAGTGGTGAGTGGAGGAGACTTCAGGTGGGGGCACATCCACATCAGGCATGTGGGTAATGCAGGCACCAGCTGAGCAGTCGATGTCTCCCCAAGAAATGGGAAAGCGGCGAGGAGTCCTGTGGCACCTTATAGATTAACTGAAGTGTTGGAGCATAAGCTTTCGTGGGCCATCTGACCAAGTGGGTCTTTGCCCACGAAAGCTTATGCTCCTACACTTCAGTTAGTCTATAAGGTGCCACAGGACTCCTCGCCGCTTTTGCAGATTCAGACTAACACGACTACCCCTCTGATACAAGAAATGGGAATAATCCAACATCTTAATAGACCCTCTGTCATTATTGGCCTGCATGAATCTCCTCCCTCAAACCCTCCCCTTGCTCTGCCCCGCACTGGCCAATCGAGGAGGGGGAGGGGAAGAAGGGTGCAGAGAAGGAACTTGGAGCTGACAAGTTTTCAGTAGACTGTTTCCAATCCAGGGGCTTTGCTTCTCCAGCCCCTCAGTGCAAAGCATATGCTGCCAGAGAAGGGTGCAGCACGGACAGACGCCAGCTGGCATCACCCTGCAGTGGAAAAGGAGAGCTGGGTGGGGCCTGAGCTGTTTGGCTCCCAGTCTTGCCTCTTGGGCCCAGAGTTCAAATCAGCAACTCAACAAAGACAAATGAGCTCAGGAGGTTTGTTCTTACTGCCCATGCTACATATCCCTTCCCTGCCTGGCCAGTTCTCTGCTCAAACACTGCAGGGCTGGGGCTCAGTGGTGGCTCTGAGCCGAAGAGCAGGAGGGAGTCCAAAAGTGGAGCCTGCAAAGCTGCAGCAGGAAAGGCAGCACTGCACAGGGCACCCGCTATGTGACCAGCTCCTTGCATTCTCCTCATGTGATCTGTAAAGGGTTAAAAGATTAACTGGATGAGCTTGGTTCTCCACACTTCCCACCCCACCTCCTGGGGGGAAAAAAAGGACAAAGATGCAGCTGGGTTTTCTGGGGCTTTAGTTTGAAAAAGTATTCGTTGAAAGTGTACAACAGAACGAGGTGCAAGGGTGGCACTCGAGCCAGATTGTTCCACAAATAAAAACAGAAGGGCCTTAAATAAAGGGGGCGCAGATTAAAAAAACCTCAACAGTGAAAAAATTCTTCCCTCCCCCCCCAAACAGAATAGTCACAGGCACAAAAATGGCGACACCCACATGGAGACAACACTGGGATGTCCATCCTCTAACCACTACCGTGCTACTCACCTGGGCTGGGCCTCCCGTGTCCGCGGATCTGCAGCCAGCCCCACTGGGCAGCTCTTTGGAATGGTTACAAATGAGCAATGTGACATGCCCTGGCTGACCCACCCCATCACCCTGTCCAGGACACAGACAAACGAGGCCTCTGCTAAGGCTAAAAAAGAACAAGACGTTGGAGTCTTGAGCTCAGCTTGTTTAAGAAATGAGTCTGGGGAGTGCACACCAAGTCTCTGTGCCAGGCCCGCTAGTCCCGCTTGGCCTTCTTGCTGCTGTCACTGCCATTCTCCTCCACCGCTGCCTGTGTGTCGGCCGCCACTAGTTTCCGTTTGCCACTGTCGGCACGGGCTTGTGTGGAGCGTGGTTTGAAGCAGATAACGATGCAGGTCATGTTGTCACAGCCCGTGCCATCCCCAGATGTGTCGGGAGCCAGGCATTGATCCAGGAGCTGGGGGAGGAAAGGGACAAGGCAGGTTAGCAGCTCACATGGAGCAAGCACGAGGATGATAACCTCACGTGCAGCCAAGGCAGTATTAGGGAGCTGCTCCCCTGGCTCCTCCCAGACGAGGGAGCAGGACAGCTCCAGGCAGTGCTCAGTGTCTTGGGGTCTGACAAGCTAACCTGAGAAGCCCCTCATTATTAGTATATGTTGGGGGGCTCCCGATACAATAGCACTGCCTCTGCTTAGGGATGTTAAATATCTGTTAACCTCAAGAATTCTTATCCGTTATTCTATGGTCCCCGGAGGGAGAGGTGGGGTAGGGCGAGGATGGGGGAGCTCACTGCCAGTGCGCTCTGGCCTCACTTCTGAGGATTTTCTTGCCGCTCCGCACTGCTGCCGCTGTATCAGAGGCAGCAGTGCAGGGTGCCAGGTGGGAGATGGTCCGCAAGGGGAGCCAGTTTAAAAATCAGCTCCCCTCGCAGACCGGTTGCCTGTCGTCTTGTGCTGCTGTCTCTGATAAAGCAGTGCGGGGCGGCAGCAGCCCCTGTCTAGGGTGGGTCTGAGCTCCCAAACCTGGCGTGAAAATGGGCTTAAAATGCAGAGCTGCGCAGGGGTAGGTCCTGAACCTATTTCAAGCCAGGACTGAGCCTGACTGCTAGACAACCTGCTAAAAAATGTACTAGCAAGTTGGGGGAGGGGGGGAGAGGAGTAGTCTATTGGATTAGCCGATTAATCGACTACACTATTACACCCCTACCTCTGCTAGCCGGTCAGGAGAATGCTAGGAAAGCATACAAAGCAATTGGGTCTGTATGCATGTGATCACCATCAAGCCAGGGGTAGGCCCCAAATTCCAGCCCTCAATCACTCTCCCTGCAGGGAGGCATAGAACCACACCCAGCTGGCTTTCCTTAGCTCGTAGGCCAAGAGGAGCGAGAGTCAGGCTGCTTACCTCTTCTACTATTGAGGAGAGAGGCCTCAGGTCTCCATTGTCATCTTTCTGGGTGATCTTGGCCTGGATGAAATCCACCACTTCCTGGCTGCTCATCACGTTCCTGCCAGCAGAGCGGTGACAGGTCAGAGCAGCTGGCAGGGAAACCTGGTTTTGTTAGCACACTCCCCCCCACCCCCCAGGCTGGGGGCTCTCAGAATGGGAGGAGCAGGGCATGCACCAAGGCAGAGAGTAAGGGAGAGCCCCTTGCTCTGGAGCCGTCGGCAGCATAGAGCTGGAGGGACTGGGCTCTCAGCATGCCGGCCCTCCTCTGTCCTACGGGGGCAGCCTGCCTGGGACTCATGGATGAGCAATCCGGAGGCCCGCTGGGGACAGAGCCCATACAAAGGCTGGGACAGGCTCCTGCCTCTCTGGTGCTCACCAGATTCCGTCGCACGCAATGACCATGAAGTCGTGCTCCTCGTTTATCGTCAGCACCTTGATGTCAGGTAAGGCTGAGATCATCTGCTCCTCCGGGGGCAGGTTCTTGTTCCGCTTGTAGAAGTGGTCGCCTGGCAAGAGAGAACTCCTTTAGCTCTGCTGCCCAGACCGCCTGGTCAGGGGCCACGCGAGAGCCCAAGCGGCACTCCCGCAGGCAGGAGGGGACAGCCCTCTCCCTCGCAGATCAAGGTCTGGGCTGAGTTGGAGCATGGGGCCAGCTCAGCAAAGCTCCAGCCCAAGCAACATGCCACCCACTGTCTGTGCTTTTACCAGGCATGGACCAGACCCGGGTCCATCCAGTCCAGTGACCCATCTGCACCAGCTGCTTCAGGCCAAGGTGCTGTGACCAAGTGGCCTGCCCCAGGGGATGTTTCTCCCACCCCCATATAGGGATGTAAGCGACTAATCGACTATCCAATAAGCGAAAAGAAAAAGAAAAAGAAAAAGAAAAGCGGGGGGGGGGGGGGGAGCACAACGGCGCCCAACTCGACTTGTGCAAGAGTCTCTCCTGGGCGTCCCAGTCCAGCTCTCCACCCACTGGGGCTCTTGAACATTTCAAAGGCAGAACACAGCAGTTCTTACTGACAGGGCTCGGTGAGCCCCACTCACCAGCCGCGCTGTCCGGCGATCTGCGCGTGCACAGATTGCCCGAACCCAGCTCTTCCGGGTTACAATCTACTCGCCACGGGCAAGTCGATTGTATTTGTCGTCGAGCCCTGCTTATTGACTAATTGAACAGTCGAAGGAAATCCCATCAACTAGTCGATAAGTTGACTAATCGAAATCTAACATCCCTACCCCAGTACTTAAGAGGCTCATGCCCTGCAACCTGAGAGTTCATGGCCAGTCCTGAGCTCTAGTTTGGGAATCTTTCCTCTGACAATTCTGGTTATTCTCCATACCCACAAAAACAGCTAGCGTCTCTCTGAATCCTGCCAGGCTCAGCCTCAGTTACGTGGCAGGGAGTTCCATAGGCCCTTTGTGGGAAAGTATTTCCTTGGACCCCACATTTGAATAGACACTTCTGATCTCCATCCTCTTGGCCAGTCATTGCTTTAGAAGCTTCAATGTCTTCTCATTCTGTTTCTCCAAGGGGGCCATCCTGCTCTTTTCACCTCTCTGGATAGAAGTCTTCCCCAAGCCCTTGAGCATTCTGCTGCCCTTCTCTAACCCCCTCTAGGTGTCATAAGAAGGGGGGCGAGCACTCCCCAAACGAGCCCACATCCCTGATTAGGGAATTCACCATCCCCAATAGCTTGTTGCTGGCCTGACCTAGCTACGTGCAGAGCTGAACTCTCCTGCAGCTGCCTGTGGCCCTCTCCACAGGTCAAGTTGCTCATGTCACTTCTGCCACCATGCAGCACCTTCCATCTCTCAGCAGCAACTGCCACCAGGCTCTTTGGCACCCAGCCCTACGTGACCCAGTCCTGGCTGATGCCCCATACGTGCCGTGGGCCCATCTAGCTCCCAAACCGCTGAGAACCGGAGACCAGCGCGCGGGGGCCTGCCGGCCTCCTGCAGTTGCTCACCAATTGCCCGGGAGAGGTTTAGCCCGCCATTCACTCTCCCATCCATGGTGACTTTGCCGCCGGCATTCTTTATCCTGGCCAACTCCAGTTCATCCTCCGGCTTGTGGTCATAGGACATGTCCACGGCTTTGCCGCCCTCCGACACCACGCAGCGAGAGTCCCCTGCATTGGCTACGATCAGCTGTTTACCTCGGATAAGGGCTACCACGGCAGTCGTCCCGCTGTCAGAGCCAGGCTGAGACACAAGTGGTCGGTGAGACTCCTTCCAAACACACAATGCCCTGAGCCTCACAGAAGCCCTTCGGGGGCAGAGGCTACAGACTAGCCCAAGAGCAATCAGTGCACCAGATATGCCAGACCTCTCCTCCCCAGAGGTGCCGGGCCCAAAGACGGGGCCACCGCAGGAAGCGGAGGAGAGGTGGGGTTGAAAACTGGTATGAAAGGAACAGAGGAAGTGTATGTTTCCCCAGAAGTGGGGTCCTCAGAGAAAAAACACCATCCTAGGAACACCAGGGAGTTCAATAGCATGGCCTGCGCTGTTCCCTCCTTTCCTACGGAGGAACAAGTTGCAGTGATGCCAGCCTCAGCCTGACAGTCCAGGCAGCCTGCACTTTGGTAAAGGATGGAGGCTTCTGCAGTCTCCATTTGCACTGCAGCCTCCCGTCCAGCTGCCAAGACCGTTCTCAGCTGGTGGTCTCGAGAGCCGCTACATACCAGCATCTGCTGTGTCCAGGTGAGAGACACAGCCGGGCTGGCTGCTCCTGCAGGAAGAGCTTTGCTGCTGTGCAGGATGCTCTGCTCAGCTCAGCTCAGGTTCTGGGCAGAGCTCTGACCAGATAAACTAGCAATGGATTCTACCTTTGCAGCTGCCCTCTTGCTGTCCCACAGCCCATGGCCCATTCCAACCCCCACCAGACTCCATGTGGGAAGATGCTTCCTTTAGGCCCGGCATAGGAAAGCTGACTAGAAAATGCAGAGGCTGCACAGAGCAGAGTCTCCTTGGCCATGGGGCATGCTCTGGCTCCCAAGTCACCCAAGGCTGCTTCCTGGGGCAGAACTAACATAATGCTAAAGGTGGCAAAAATAGCACGTGCACCTCCTCTTTCCCCTCCATGCCTGGTAACATCATCTCTTCCTCTTCATCCTCATCCTCCTCAGCCTCTTCTGTGTCATCTTCATCCTCTTCATTCTCTGCCTCGTCACTGCTGTAGCCATCCTCATCCTCACTGCACTCCTACAGACAGAGATGCCATCAGACAGCAGAATGCCTTGGCCCTTCCAGGGAGATGGACAAGATGAGCTCAGCAGGACAGAGCATATGACCCGGCAGGTCTGTTCTCTCTCTGGTGCAGTGATCAGGGCAGGAGGTAGTAGCTCCCAGCTCATGCACTGGCCAGACTGCAGTGTCTGTGGCACCCTCATTCTACAGACAGTGCCCACAGCGAGGCACTGCTGATGCAGGCCCTGGCCTGTAAATCCCACCTTACAGCAAGCTGGGGGTGGCTCATGCTCTCATGACCTGGCCTGTAAAGAACGTGGAAACAACTCCACTCCCTCCCCAGGACAGGCAGCTGCGCAGCACTCTGGTGCTTACCTCACTGTCCTCCTCCTCTTCAGCCTCATCTGACTCATCCTCACTGTCTTCAAAAAATTTGGACTTTGTTGCGCGCTGGGGCTTTCCCATAGAGGAGCAGGAAGGCCCTGCCTCCCCTGTGGAGGAGGTGACTGTCTCTTCACCCCTGCCCACTTCAGCCTTCTTTGCAGCACAGCTGTTGTCCCCAGCGTCGGATCCATCCGAAGTGGAGGAAATGCCCAAGGCCTCATCATCTGGCTTCCCATTTTTCCTCTCCCTGTGGTCGGCCAGCTCCCCCGGACTGGCCTCCCCATTCACACTCCACTCCCCATCATGCTCCTTTCCCATCTCCCCTGCTTGGGAAAGTGGCTTGTTTCGGAGGTTCTTGATGCAGTTCTGTCCGTAGCGGGTCAGCAGCTCCTCTATGGTCATTGTGGCTTCTTCGTGCAGCAGGGCTGCTTCCTCATTGTCAACTGCAAGAAAGAGAGAAAGTCAGAGCAGGACACGCTGCTGCAGCAGCAGAGCCCCCGTAGGACGGGTTTGGCCCTAGGCTGCATTTCCAGCAATGCCCAGAGGCAGAGCTGCCCCTGCAGAGCTCTCAGATCCAGCCAACAAGGGAGGGAGAAGCATCACGCTCCAACAGCTAGCACACGTGGCTCCTATGGACCCGAAGCAGCCACCTCTCAGCTGCTGAGCCTGGCCGATGCTTGCTGGCTGACACTTTGTAGGCATCGTGGACACCAAGAAGGGCTGTGACGGTCGGGCAGCACAAGCTTAGCCCGAGGTGCCGGGGGCACTTGTGAGTGGGAACAGCTGATGCTGGCCAAGCAGCTGGGTTCTGGGTGCCTGTGCCTGCTGGGTATGCCGAGCCCTGGGACACTGGCTAGTCTGTTTTCTTGCACAGCTCTACCCAGATGCTGTCAGATGCAGAAATCAAACTAAGGGGTCTTTCCCACCAGGTTTTGGAACCTGGGTGTCCCCAGCATGTGCAGAGAAATGCCATGGTCTAGTGGCAGATGCTCTCTGCAATTCTCTCTAAGCTCGTTTCCTGGTTGGGGCTCTGCTCCGTGCCCTGACAGACATGCCTAGGTGGGAGAGCACATTTGCTTCTTTGAATGAACACGGCAGGCTTGGGTAGGGATGTCCAGGTTTAACTGGTAAGTCTCACCCTTACCCAGAGGGGCTGGAGCAGCTCCTGCCTGTGTGTGTGTGGTGGAGATATGTTCTCTCACTCGCTTCCCTTTAATCGCTTAGCCAGTTCATGTGCTGAACCAGTTATCCAATTAAATGGGATTTTACATCCCTACTCTTGGCCAGAGTCACTGCCCCGGGGGGGTTCCAGTCCACCTTCATCCCCCCCACTTGTCCCCCCACGGACACAGGATCAGCAAGCTTGGGACACTGCCCTGCCCATTGCACTCACACAACATCTCCACAGGCCAGAGCGCTCGAGCCCCGGCTGGAGCAGACACACTGGAGGGAGGGGCCCAAAGCAGCGTGTGTCAGTTAAAAGACAGATTTTCCAAAACAAGTCCAGCTCTGCCATGCCAGCCTGGAGCACAGGAAGCTGCTGAGCTACCCTAGAGGAGAGGGCTAAGCTGGCTCCAGCCACACTGTGTGCAACCAGCTCCTTTTACCAGCAAACCCTTCCTAACAGAGCCACCGCCCTTCCCCTCCCAGGGCTGGACCAGCACCACAGTCCTCAACCTCCGCTACCAGCACTTACCATCATCCTCGTCAGCCACTTTCTCCTTCTCGTCGTCCTCATCCTGGGGCCGCCCAGCAATCTGGGCAAGCTCCTTAATCACCTCCTCTGTGGTCAGCTTGGCATCAATGGCCAGGAACGCATCCTCCAGGGCCTGCAGACAAGCACACAGCACGGGGCTGCACATAGCTCAGGGGGCACCCGCCCCTCTCTCAGCCACACCAAGATCCCATCACAACCCCAACCCCGAGGTGACCGGCACGGCCTGGGATGACACTTGGAGAGGGTCAGCGTGAGAAACAACCCCTCAGTCCTATAAGTGAGTGACTTGGTGCACCCAGGACATGCTTCCTATTGCTGCCTTCCTGAGCCCCACTGCGCCATGGCTGCATTTCTCTCACCAACACTGATCCAGGAGCCAGCCCCATGGTGATGTGGAGGCAGAGTGGGGGACTCCCTGCAGGGACACAAGGCATGGGGCAGATACGAGCACTGCCTCTCAGTAACTTCAAGGGAGCTAAAAGGAGGGAGGAGGAACAACTCAACATGGAGGACACCAGCTAGTAAGCAGAAGAGAGGGTGGAGAAGGGAAGAAGCTTTTCTGGGAGACCTCAAAAGCGAGGGGCTGAGCAACCCCAGAAGCAGCCAGGGGCTGGTCGGCACTAGATGCAGAGAGGCCTGTTCTCTTGCCTTGGCATCTACACGTCTCCCACAGCAGCCCAGGCTCTTACCTTCTGTAGTTTGCCTTCCTTGTAGGCCTTCTGGTCCTTGATGATCTCTGGCAAGTACTTGGCACAGTACAGAGCAACCTCTTCCCCTGAAAAGAGAGCAGAGGCCACCTGAAAAGCCTGCTCCTCCCAGAGTGCAGAGTTATGGCCGGAGGGAAATCCGTGGCCTCTGGCAGCATGCAGGTCCATGCAGGAAGAGGAGACAGTAACAGGCTGCAGAGCAGAGGTTGCTAACGGGATGTCGGGGCTCAGCACAACGGCCTTCGCTTTCCAAGGACCTGCCTCTCTGAGATGGCAAGACTTGCTGATGATGCTGACACAGGAGACACCATCCACACACCCACCCTTGGGACCCCAGCAAACTGTCAAGGTTTTTCACTCCCAGGCCAGGTTCTGAGGGACTCAGCTGTTCTCAGGCCACTCCCACCTGGAGAGCGGAACTTTGCGATTGCAGGAGGGGAAAGGGGGCTTCAGCGTAATGCAGATAGCCTGGGAGGTTTTGTTTCTCCTCACACAGACTGCAGCCAGTGAGTGTTCACACACCAAAGTGCCCACCCCAATGCAAGAGGAGATGCCACAACTAGCAAGGGAGAGTGCAGTCCTAATGGGCAGAGCAGAGTCCTACTGCAAGAGGAAGAAAAGAAATGCAGGAGGCGGCAATAGGAGAAGCAGCTACAGGGCCAGATGCCAAAGGAGGAGAAATTCTGTGAGTTAAGTATAAGAGAGCCATGGCATGCACCTAAGCACATAGATCAGTTCACTCCTCAACCACTTGTTGGCTACTTGAAATCACAATGCCTCCTTGTGGGTGCCTGGATAACTGACAGACAGACAGACTGACCACAGGTCCATGGTGCACAGAGGACACCTTCATGGTCCCAAAAGGGCAGACTCCAACCAAAGGGGAAGGCCCATGAGAGGGAAGTAATGACAGCAACAGTCATCACAGGCACTCAGAATGCAGCACAGTGGCAGGGAAGCAGTCCAATGGAAAAGCTCTGAGGGGAGAGGTGAGGAGCAGTGACTCTTGTTTGGAAGGGACTGGCCTGAGAGCTGAGTGGGAGAAAGAATCCTACTGGGAATGGAGAAGAGGGAGGCAGCCAAGAGCACAGGGAGAAGAGAAAGGTAGCCAGGATGCCAGCAAAGGGTTCCCCCTGAGATGGCTGTGCTGCGATGGGGAAGCTCAGAATGGCTGTGTCCAGGTTACATCCCTCTTTCGACACAGGGATGTAAATTAGGCACTTCGAAATTGCAAATGAAGCTGGGATTTGAATTTCCCGTGCTTCATTTGCATAATCATGTAATGGTGGTCTCTCGAAAACACGCTATTTCAAAGGTAAAACTGAGGTCTAGACACGGTTCTTTTGATAAGGGAAGGCTACAGGATCTTTCGAAAAAGCCTTCCCTTATCGAAAGAACCGTGTCTAGACCGTGGTTTTACTTTTGAAATAGCGCATTTTCGAGAGCGCGCCATTACATGATTCAAATGAAGCACGGGAAATTCAAATCCCGGCTTCATTTGCAATTTCGAAGTGCCTAATTTACATCCCTCTGTCGAAAGAGGGATGTAATCTAGACATACCCTATGAGTAGACAAAGCAGCAGGACCTAGATCCAAGCTCACCCCCATCATAAGCTGTTTGTCTCTTCCTTCCCTGATCCTGCTGCATCCCCGAATGACTGTGGGAAATGCTCCTACATCAGGGCTGCACGCTCAAGCACTCTCTGGTCAGCCTAAGCAGTCCTGTTCACGTAGCTCCCGTACCACCCCCTGCCAAACTCTCATGTTCCAGCAGGTGAAGAAACAAGGGGCGCTGAAAATGACCCACAATGGGCAGGGAAGAACCACCACTAACACACAAGAATCCAAAATCCCCACAAAGATGGGGGAGACGGGCATGGGGTTTTCACCAGCCCAGAGGCCAGGCTGGGGGAACATGAGAGCTCGGAAGGAAGGAGGCAAGCCATGGAACTAAGGATCGAAGGGCACACACACAGCTCTGTTACACCTGCTGGGAGGCAGAGGAGACCTGGGCCATTGGTAAGGAATGGAAACCCTATGCAAACTGGTGTTGATCAAGGGGCTCCACTGGAAGTTGTATAACACAAACTCGCCCGGTCAGACCACATTCACCCAGTGTTGCAGTGAGGGCTGGGACACCCAATTCAGCTCTTCTCCAGATTAATCATGTGAACACGGGTCTCCCACATCCCCAGTGCACACTGTCATAACAGGGCTACCGAAGTGGCGGCAGCAGAAGTGAGCACAGGGAAACAGGAGCTGCAACAGTGACACAAGCAGTTACCATCTTGGGACATCGATTTTTAAAGGGGGAACAGGATGTCCAGGTAACCACGGGCCCATCAGACTGACATCAAGCCTGGCCAGAACAATGGAACAGCTGATCTAGGACTCAATCCAAAATCCCTCTAAGCCACGCAGCCACCTAACAAACCCCACACAGGAGTTTGTGGTGGGAGAGAGACGCCACTTCCCAGGTCCCCAGCCAGCCTAGCCCATCCCAGAACTACTTCAACTGGGGCACAGGCTCCTGGCTGTGCCTAGTGAAGCTGCAGCAGTCCTGGAAAGGCACCTCCACCTGGCACGGAGGTATTGTGGTGAGAGGGGGCTAGGATAGTCATCTCTCCCTGGAGCAGACTGCATCCTGTACCCCTCATCCCTGGTCCCACTCTAGAACCTGCACCTCCAGCCACAGCCCCCACTGCACCCCAAATCCTTGGCCCCACCCCTCCACACACTGCTTATGTGTGCAATGACTTTTGTTAAGTGATAAATCCCCTCCATACTGGTGCACATAAGAAATGTCATTCTGCACCTGGACATGAAACGTTAGAGGGAACACTGGCCTCAACTGATCATGCACAGTCCACACCTGCCTAAGATACAGCACTTAGGTCAGTGGCTAATTCACACACCTGAGCAACATAACTGAGATTAACTTCACGTGAAGTGTCACCAGAACCTACACACTTATGGCAGGGATGAGGAACCTTTTTTGGGTCAGGGACCGCAGACCCACAGAAAAATCAGTCGGGGTTGCACACAAGTGAGAGACGAAAACAGAAAACAAACCCTCACTGATGTGGCCCCTGCCTGAGAAGGAAAAAGCCATTCCCCACATTCTCCTCGCACATCAGAGCCTAGCGGGGCCCAGGCTAGTCAATTTTGTGTGCTCCAGCCCCACAGTGGAGAGCCAGTGAGGACTCCCCAATACACAGGGGTGAGCCCTGAGCCTTGGGGGCCAGACCTAGGCAAGCCAATGGCTGCCTCTGGCCCCCAGGTCATAGGTTCGGATCAGAGGAAAGGTGTCTCATGGATCAGTGACTGGCTAAAAGACAAAGGGTAGGAATAAATAGTTTTCACAATGGACAGAGATATTCCCAAGGATGGAGACCTGTGCTGTTCCACATATTCACTGCCCATCTGGAAGAAGGAATGAATAATGAAAAGGCAAAGTCTGATACAAAGCTATTTAAGATGGAGTGGAAAAAGAGACTAGAGAAGTGTTATTTATCCTTTTTCACAATACAGAAACCAGAAATTACCCAATGAAATGAACAGGCTGAATACAAACAAGAGGGAGTACCTTTTCACACAACACACAATTCACCTGTGGAACTCATTGCCAGGATCATGGAGGGTAGAGCCATAATGGTTATTAGTCAAGATGGTCAGGGATGCAACTCAACCCTTGGGGCAATGCTAAAGCTCTGACTGTCAGAAGCCAACAGGGGAAGAGAGGGTGAATCACCAACTGCCCTTTGCACACACTCCCCCCAAAGCTGCAATATGGACAGCTGTCAGAGAAGGCTACCAAGGTACAGGGACCATGGTCTGACCCCACATGGCAGCTCTTATGTACTATAATTGATGCAAATCAACATGGGTTTATGGAAAATAGATCCAGTCACACAAACATGGAATCTATGTTTGATGAGCATACAAATTTGCCTGATTAAGGTAACAGTGTTGATGTAACAGCTTTTTGTAAGGTGTTCCACTTGGTACTGCATGACTTTAAAAAAAACAAAACACAAAACTAGAATACCACATCAAATGTATTAAAAACAAGTTGACTGAGAGGTTTAGGAATCACCACTGAGCAGATGTGTTTCTGGTAAGGTCCCACCAGGATGGGTTCTCAGCCCTACACTAATGAACATTTTCTGAGTTGCTAGCGGCATGATCATCAGTGATAACATGCAGCTGACAGAAACACTGGGAGAGAGGTAAACAACAGGGAAGACATCACTGATCCAGAGAGAAATGCATCACTAGGCTGACTGGGACAAGCAAACAAGGCCAAATATAAACGTAGACATCTAGGAACAAAGGCCATTGGTAAAGGACAGGAACTCTACTGTGGGAAGCAGACATGCTAAAAAAAGATTTGTGGGTCATGGTGGATAATCAGATGAAAATGAGTTCCCTGTGTAATGCTGGGACCAAAAGAGCTCCTGCCATTCTAGGATGCATAAACAGGGAATCTCAAGTATAGGTAGAAAGGTTATTTTTCTTCTGTACTTGGCCCTGGTACAACCACTGCTGCAGTCCTGTGTCTAGTTCTGGTGCCCGCATTTCAGCAAGAATGTTGATAAATTGGAGACGGTTCAGAAAGAGTCCGGAGAAGGATGAAAGGATAAAAAAAAAACAACCTCACATTAGAAGAGGCACAGTTATTTAATAACAGAAGGAATCATCAATCTAGAAAGCAAATGTGTAACGTGCCAATGTCTGAAGCTACACTAATTAAACCCATACATAAGAGGGAACAAAACTCACAGCAAGTAACTAACCATCAGAACAGCTTATCCAGGGTTGTGGTGGATACTCCACCACTGGCAATTTTTTAATCAAGTTTTGATAGCTTCCTAAAAGATCTGTTCCCATTCAATTAGGAATTAATACAAGGGTTAATATGGCATCCATTCCACAAGAGGTCAGAGATATGGTCACAGAGATTCCTCCTGGCTTTCTGGTCTATAAATTTCTGGTTGCTAGCCTAGGGGAACAGTTAGAGCAACTTTCTCCTCCAAACACCCTGGTAGAATTTAGAAAGACAAAGAG